AAAACCATCAGTGCACAATTTTCCACACCACAATCTGTCAAGCACATCTTACCAGCAAACATACACTCATTCACATCCTTCTCTTCACTCTCTGAGGCAGAAGTCTCCAAATTCATCCTTTCTAATCATCCTACTACTTATCCACTTGATCCTATTCCATCTCATCTCCTTCAAGCCATTTCTCCTGCAGTTGTACCTGCACTCACCCACATCATTAACACATCCCTTCACACTGGTGTTTTTCCCTTTTAGAGAACTACAGACGGTTTCCCTTCTTCCTTTCATTGCAAAAACACTTGAACGAGCTGTATTCAACCAAGTCTCTGCCTTTCTCACACAGAACAACCTCCTGGACAGCAACCAGTCTGGTTTCAGAAGTGGACATTCAACCGAGACTGCCATACTCTCAGTTGTTGAAGCCCTAAGACTGGCAAGAGCGGATTCCAAATCTTCAACACTTATCTGGCTGGATGTGTCCGTTGCTTTTGACACGGTTAACCACCAGATTCTCCTGTCAAACCTATTGGCAAAGGGCATCTAAGGAACCACACTCCAGTGGTTTAAGTCTTATCTCTCAGATAGGTCCTTCAAGATATCTTGGAGAGGTGAGGTGTCCAAGTCACAACATCTAACTACTTGGGTGCCTCAGGGCTCAGTTCTTGGACCACTTCTCTTCTCTGTCTACATGGCATCACACATCGCTTTTCATATCACTGCTATGCGGATGACACTCAATTCTACCTCTCATTCCATCCTGATGATCCGATGATAGCTGCTCGCATCTCAGCTTGTCTAACAGACATTTCTTGCTGGATGAAGGATCATCACCTTCAACTCAACCTTGCCAAGACAGAACTGCTTGCGTAGTTTACGTTAATGGGTGTTGTCGCGGGAGGAGCAAACAACAGACACAGTGGGTGTGGCGTCAGGCCTCGGAAAGGCTTTTATTAACAGAAAATAAACAAAGTGTCCAGAAAAAGGGAATCAAGTGTCCAAAATAAAAGGGGATCTGGTGTCCTCGTCGTGCTGCGGGTTTTGTGAAGGGAAGGGCAGTGGACAGGAAGGACGGGTCCAGGTAAGGGACCCGGCAGCTGCAGGCGCTCCCCTCTCCGGTCCAGCGTGCATGCACGGGGAAGAGACCAGTCTCCCGAGGAGAGGCGCACTCAGCATTTAAACAGCGGCGGTGATGAGGATCTATTCGGTTCAGGTGTGTCCCATCACACGCCGCCAGCCCTGGCTATTTCAGCGCCCCTCCTCTCTCACACATTCACTCCTGTCGGGAGCCTGGCGAAGGGCAGCGATTAAGGGACGGGGTGATGCTGATAATTAGGGGGAGGCAGCCGACTTGTTACAGTGTATATACCATGTATATATATATTCGTTGTCTGTTTTAAATGCACCTCTTAAGTGTCCCACTCTGTGCAGCGTGCAGTGTCACGTGTCAAAACAAACAGCACGTGGTGTTAATGATTCTGCCTCTAGAGGCCGCTCTTGCTCTCATACTATATAATGACTGCGAACCTTCTCAGCCGCTCCAGCAACGGACGCAACCCAGAAGAACAATCGGCCTGGAATTTTGCCGATAGTTCCAGCAATCAACTATCGGCCCTAAATGGTTTAGCTCCTGTGTTCCTAGTCTCGCGTAGCCAGACCTTCAGACTAACGGCTGAAAGTCTGGAATCCATGGCAGCTTTCATTGACCAAAGCCCGCCCATGAGGCCGTTTGACCGACATGTCAAACAACCAATCACAGTTCGTTTCGTTTCAGTGTCACGTTTCAAGGCGTGGAAATGTCGCCACAATAACAGACCGGTGTGTAAAACTATCGGACTTATTTTAAAGATTCTGTGCCGTGAACTTTAAATATTTCACATACTTTTGAAAATCCAGCGTTTAGTTGATCCTGATAAGTGCTCGTCGTCACAGTTGTAAACACGTCATCTTTGTTTCCAGGCGGAACATTATAGAACGTGACACATGTGTCTCCCGGAAATCCTGTATAATTCAACAAATCTGATGACGACTTCGAAACTCCTGAAGTGTTTCCACTTTTGTGTGCCATATGCATCAGATGTTTAGTTGGTGTGATGTCTGAGGCTGAGACTACTGTGATCCTAACCAGTCTTCTATCATGCTACAAGCCATCATGCTCCCTAAGGTTGCAAATCTCTGGACTTTTGGTTGTACCTAGGATGGCAAAGTCCACTAAAGGAGGTAGAGCTTTTTTTGCATTTGTCTCCCAAACTCATCATCTCAGGGCTTTTCACACTGTGCTTAACCCCAGGTTATCGTCGTTCTAAACACCGCTTTTAACCCCGGGTAAATAAACGTTTTACACCTGTAATTTGAAAGCGGTATTAGCAACTCCAGAGCAGGGTTAGCACCGCATTTGTGGTGTTAACCCCGCATTGCGGTGCTAAGTTTTTTTCAGTGTGAAACGGAGCAGTGTTTGCTTGTTGCTGCTGGATGCTTGGCAACAGACAGCCAATCAGAAATTGAGGAGTGAGGCTCATATCATGTCAGTAACAGGAAACGCTGTTGCTGCTGGATGCTTGGCAACAGACAGCCAATCAGAAATTGAGCAGTGAGGCTCATATCATGTCAGTAACAGGAAACGCGCGTCGTGTAAACAGCAGCCAGTGAGAGAAAAGTAAGAAATGTCAAAAGACGGAAAGCATGTGAACTGGAGTGATGAGGAGACGGTATTATTCTTACAGTTATTGTCAAAAAAGTCTCTTCAAGAGAAATTGGAAGACCTACGGGGCGACATTTTTTTTTAATTACTGGCAAGACGCGAGAAAAGCCGTGTAAACAGGTTGCCTGCTATTCGTCCAAACAGTGACAGTGACACCGCAAATAAGAACGTTAACCCGGGGTTTAGGAATGTACAGTGTGAAACGTCTGTTAATGAATGCCCAGGATTTACAGTTAACCCCAGGTATAGTATGAGCAGTGTGAAACGTGATTACAGATAACCCAGGATTCCATTTATCTGGGATTTAAGGATGACCCAGGGTTAACAATTTCAAGTGGGAAAAGCCCTCTCTTTAGCCGAGATGGTCCTCACTGCAGAACACAAGATCCAGGGGGCGTGGTTGGATCCAGATCCAACTCCTCCCACCTTACATATACCTAAACCTACCCGTCTCACCCCCTGATCCTTAAACCCACCCATCTGGATAGTGTGTTCTAAAGTGAGGGGCTACTGCTTTAGCCAAGCATTCACATAAGGTATCTCATAACTTTGTACTCCAGTTATATCTGATCAAATGCACATTATCATTCTCTACTTGGTTTGAACACATGATCATTTTTAGCTTGGTTTGAACAGCAGCTATGCTAATTTGCTTCTCTGTTTTTGCCACAGGATGGGAGTTAACTAGGGATTACGCAAGCTTCAGTCTGGATCCAGCCCTTACAAAGATCTAAGAAGAGATGATACCAACCCCTCTGAAGACCTCAGATGATGCCAACCCTGAACCAACATACAAAACTACCAAATTTTCCTATAAGTTTGATAGCAACATATAATCATTGCTGTCAATAGTTTTCACCATTTGTTTGAATACATGTTGTGGATGATTTTTTTATGTATATATCTGCCTTATGGACATCACTTTGACATAGGCTGATAAGATACTCCCAAATGTAATGTAGACACTTTAATTTTCTGTGAAGCTGCTTTGCAACGATTTGTATTGTGAAAAACGCTATACAAATAAATGTGAATTGAATTGAATATAGCAGTGTGAGGGCAGCTGTGTTCCAGCCTGGCTTCTATGACTAGGGTCCTCTTGGCACAAGCCCTTTCAAGTAGGCGCTGACTCCTTGCCTTGGAAGATAGCTATCTGAGGATAGCTGTATTTTGGCTCAGTACTGCCCCCGTGTCAGGGTTTTAAGTAGCGGTCTTGAGCCTCTTGTCTAGATTGTGTTATCTCCCCTGTTAGGGTTTTAAGTAGATAGCCCACTTTCCGTGGTCTGGGCAATCTTCAGTCTAGCCTGAGGAAACTGCTATTCGAGGATAGCTGTGTTCCAGCTTGGTGACTACTCCCCTTATTAGGGTATTTAAATAATGGTCTCCTTGAGCCCCTTGACTAGATTGTGCTGTCTCCCCTGTTAGGGATTTAAGTAGATAGCCCATTCTCTGGCACTCTCTCTCTTGGCAATCTTCGGTTAGGACCTTTGGAGGATAGCTATCTGAGGATAGCTGTTTTCTAGCTCAGTGACCACTCCCCTTACTAGGGTTTTTAAGTAGTGTTCCTTGGAACCCCTATCTAGACTGTACTTTCCTCCCTGCTAGGGTTTCTAAGTAGGTAGCCTCTATCCGTGGTCCTTTTATTATCAGGCTAAACTCACATAACATAGCTATCTGAGGGTAGCTGTGTTCTTAACTTCGTGTGAATGTCCCTCTTTCATCTGAAACTTGGTTCCCCATTTCTGCCAAGCTGTGTGAGCGGCCAGGGGCGTCAATAGCTTGGCCCCTTTCACAGGAAAGGTTAGATGTATGTGTATCACTTCCTTGGTGCTCTCTCACCAGGTGGACAGGCAAGCGCTGCAGCATGGTATATTTCATTCCCCATCGTGTCCGCTAGAGGACGTAGAACGAGTTCCCTTGAGAAGGAACGAGATGACTTCACGGGCTACGTGGGCCAATAGGATTGGAGTTCTTTAACATGTGCTTCAGACACCGGTCCAGCTGCCAGCAGTTTCCATAGTGTCCGCTAGAGAACGCAGAGTGAGTTCCCTAGAAGGGGAACCATGGTTACATGCATAACCTGAGACTTTCCTTCTGGTCTAACTCAACTGGTAAAATGGCATTTAAGTTTAGCAAGAGTGACACCAAAGAACCTGATTTGACCTTAGATGTAATTAGTATATTTAACAAAAAAATGAACAATAAGCATTTTTGACAAATTCTCCACAATAAAAAATATAATGTTCCTGAAGCCAAATTTAACTGGCCATCACTTATTGAGTTAATAGACAGGAAAGAAACCTGGTTGTTAACTCTTTTAAGTATTGCATTCCCAATGAGACAAATTAAGTTCATTTTAAGATCTTACACAAAATATATCCTGTGATTGACTTTGTGGCAAAATATATGAATGTTGACAGTTACTCATTTTGTGGGATTAAGGATGAGACACTGATCCATTTATTTTTTCAATGTGAAAAAAAAGTGATGTCGACATGACAAAGAAATTATAGACATTCACAGGGCTGTACAGGGCGAAATATGTCGAAAAAATTAATGAATAAATTTACCACAGTAGCACACGTGTGCACACTTTTTTAATTAAGTACATGTCAGAGCCCTTACTTTATTTTAACTTGAGTACAAAAGTTTAGTCAGTACTTCAACTTTTACCAGAGTCTTTTTAAACATGAGTATTTGTACTTCTACTTGAGTGAAGGATGTGTGTACTTTGCCATCTCTGCTTCATATAGGTAAGCACCTTGATTCTTCCAGATCCTTTCAGTTAAGAAATATAGTCTGTTACTGTAAAAGTAAGCTTTTTAAAATATTTTTGGTTACACTTTATTTTGATAGTCCACTTTAGACATTCAACTAACTATAAGTAACTTTGTAACTACATGTCAACTAATTCTCATTAATTTGCAACTACATATCTACTAACTCTCAGAGTAGACTGTTAGGGTAGGTTTAGGGTTAGTAGAATAAGTCGACATATACTTGCAAAGTTTCTTATAGTCAGTATGTTGTATGTTGTGGACCCATCAAAATAAAGTGTTAGTAGATATTAAGCAGACAGTCTACTAATACTCTAATGCTAGTTGACATGTAGTTGCACTGTTATGCGAGGCAAGTTTATTTATAATATATTATATTTAAATATTATATTTATATATTATATTTCATACACAGTGGTAATTCAAAGTGCTCTACATAAAATAAAATAATAATAACAATAAAACAAGGAATTAAAAAACTTTGAAAATGATTTAAAATTGATTTAAGAGGTTTATAATGAATTTAAAACAGTTAAGAATGGAAAATGATTATACATTAAATATAGTGCAATCAGTTCGGACGTTGCACAGTGCTCATTCAATAAATGTACAGCTAAACAGATGAGTTTTGAGTCTGCATTTAAATGTGACTAATGTTTTAGCACATCTGATCTCTTCTGGAAGCTGATTCCAACTGTGCATAATAACTAAAAGCAGACTCCCCTTGTTTTGTGTGAACCCTTGGTATTTCTAACTGACTCGATCCTAATGATCTGAGTGGTCTGTTTATATTCAGTGAACATATCTGCAATGTATTTAGGTCCTAGGTCATTGAGGGATTTATAAATTAGTATAAGTACTTTAAAATCAATCCTAAATATAACTGAAAGCCAGTGTAAGGACCTGAGGACTGGTGTGATATGCTCAGATTTTCTGGTTCTAGTCATGGATGGTCTGGATGAGCTTCAGCTGTCTAATGGTCTTCTTGTGAAGGCCGGTGACGAGACCATTACAATAGTCCTCCCTGCTGGTGATAAAGGCATGAACAAGTTTCTCCAAGTCTTGACTTAGTGGGAGCATATACAGGCTAAACAAGAGCAGTGCAAGAATTGAGCCTTGTGGGACTCCGCATGTCATGGACGTCCACTTAGAAGGGAGAGGTTATTATGTGAGTATAGGCGAACACAAGTGTGCTCTCCTATACTCACATAATAACCTCTCCCTTCTAAGTATGACCTGAACCATTTGATTACCATCCCAGAAAGCCTGACCCAGTTTTCCAGTCCGTCTAGTAGTATGTTATGATCGACAGTGTCAAACGCAGCACTAAGATCTAGTAGTACCAGCACTGATATGTTTCCAGAATCAGAATTTAAGTGAATATCATTTATTATCTTAATGAGCACTGTCTCTGTGCTGTGATGCGGTCACAAACCAGATTGAAAATTGTCCAGGTATCAATTTGAGTTTAAGTATTTGTTCAGCTGGTTAAAGACTACCTTTTCAATAATCTTGCCTATAAAAGGAAGATTTGATATTGGTCTATAGTTGCTCAATATGATGTTATCAAGATTGTTCTTTTTCAGAAGGGGTTTATAAAGGATCCACGTGCAAAGGCAGTCCGTTAGAATCAGTCTCTTTATTGAAGACACAAAACAAGGCAGTCTGTCGTACGATGACACAGAACTGGATGAAACTCAATGAAACACAAAACGACCGGGGATGGTCTGGTTCCGAGGACTCCCGTCTTGGAGAGAGCTTGTATGGGCTGGGCTCACTGGAAGCAGCCACCGGGCACCGAGAACACTAAGACGAGCACAGCACACTAAGCAAGACAAGACATGGTCAGAACTCTGATAGTATCGACATGAACGGCCAAACAATACCGTATGCATGTCACACAATAATCCGACAGAGAACAGTGAGCCCAACCACTAGAAATAGAGTGACTAATAGATCAGAGTGGAAACAGGTGTCCCCACAAAGCAGCACACACGCTGATTGTGATGACAAACAGGTGGAAATGAGAGCTAGAATGAGCATGGGTGTGCCTGAGTGTGTGTGTGTGTGCATGATAGAGTATGTATGTGTGTGTGTGTGTATATATCTATGTGTGTGAGAGAGAGAAACAGAGAAGCAAACCCAGCTAATGACACGTTCACCACTTCTAAGAGATCTGCTTCTAAACAGTTAAGCACCCTTTTGAAAAAATATGTGGGAAGTGTGTCAAGATAGCAGGTTGACGATTTAAGGTGCTATACTATTTCTTCCAAAATTTAGCTATCAATCTCTTCAAAAGTAGACATAGTATCTTCATTTTGATATTGCGGTCGAATCTGTCTGACCTCTGCATAACTTGGGGATGTGCTAATCGCCTTCCTGATATTACTGATCTTCTCAGAAAAGAAGGAAGCAAACTCATTGCATTTGCTGTCGGAGAGCATTTCACTGGCAATCTGACTTGGGGGGTTTGTCAGTCTCTCAACAGTAGCAAAAAGAGTGCGAGTGTTGTTTAAGTTACTGTTTATAAGGTTTGAGAAGAAGGTCTGTCTAGCTTTGCCTAGTTCCACATTGAAAGCACTAAGGCTGTCTTTATAGATGCTATAGTGAATTTCAAGTTTCGTCTTCTGACACATCCGCTCAGCTTTTCTGCATTGTCTTTTGTTAGTAGAATGTCTAATGGGGACTATCGAAATAAAGTGTTACCTTTTTTTTTATTCATAAGCAAAAATGGTTTAATTCATTTCCTACTTTTGCATTTCTTGCATTTCGTAAATCTCTTAAGTTCATTAAAAACAAAGAAAGTGACAGATTTTTTAAATATTATGATAATTTTTGGTAATACCACTGATGCATAATGTTTTCCTCTGTATGTGTTTATTATTGTGTCTTTTTTCTTCCTTTTATATTTATTTGTATTTTATTTCATTTATTTATTTTAGTTTTGTTTGTGAAACTTTACATGTAGATTTGATGTTATTTTATTCATGTAGAGATTCTATCAGTTCTGTCTTTTCTATGTTTATTGTTTGACGCATAATTAAGAAAAAAAACACCTAGGACATTTTGGCTTCACTTTTCTATAGTGGAAGGAAGTGGAGACACGTTGTTAAGTGGAGACACCACTTTTTTTACAGTCTGTGGTTTTTACATGTTGTAGATTTTAACCAATCACACACAATTCTGTTACAATAACTAATCAGAAGTTCAGATTAGTCATCACGAAATACGGAGATTTGTTCAGTGCGCACATTCACTGACTGATTTCTGCATTTTCAAATTTGCTCATTATAAACAACAAATTGTGGATGTACCTACAGTAAAATATACATTTCACAGTGTAGACAGCTTTAATGATTATAACTGGAGGAATTCTTTTTTTTTTTTGAGAGTGCTTAAACCCATGTTAGACTGAAGTACAATGATGATGTTCTTTAATAATGTAAATGTTTTTGTTGGCTTTGTGTATATAATTTATTAAAATAACCATGGAAATGAAAGTGTTATTAGTAATTTACAATGTTTTTTTATTCAAATGGCATCATGTTAAATAGAAATTAATTCATGTTCAAATCATTTTATGACATGACATCCATATCTGGTATTTGCCTAAAAAGACAGGTCTATGATGTGAGTATTAAAAGGTTTATCCTAACATTAGGCTAGTTTTAGCTTTACCCTGCAGTTGGTTCAGCCACAGTGTTGTTATTGTTAACTAAAACTATTTTATTAAAAAGAGATCGACCGATGTATCGGTTTGGCCGATTAATCGGCACCGATAGTTTGCTGGATTGCTGTAGCTATCGGCAAAGGTCCATGCCGATAGTTTTTCCGGGTTGCGTCCGTTGCTGGAACGGCTGAGAAGGTCCGCAGTCATTATACAGTACGAGAGCGAGAGCGGCCTCTAGAGGTGGAATCACTGACACTATGTGTTGTTTGTTTTGATGCAGGACACTTAAGAGGCACATTTAAAACAGACAACAAATATATATTTACACATATATAAAGTATTATATATTGTGTAAATATACACTTTGTGTTCTTTTCACACATTTTCAGACTGTTTTCTTCTGTGATTGGATATACTTTATTTATCAACTATTTATGTTGAAATAGCAGTGAATTTGTCTTAACATAATCAACTTCATCGTCCATCGATACAGCTACAGCAGCTGAATGTATACTTTGTTTCAATAATGCATTTGCATTATTCTCAGTGCTGTCCTTTCATATTTATAATGTGTTGTATCATGTCCTTTGATTTTCTGCCAAGAACAAACTACACAGGTCTACTGGACTGCTTTGGAGGCATCTATCTAGCCTGATCAGAGCTGTCATGAGGATTTTAATGGGGTACTTTAGTGTAGTAAAACCTATTAAAGTCTCACATATGTTTTTAGGCTTTGAGCTGCCACCAGGATTATGTTATGAGGATGTTAAGGTGTTCTGATTGTTGCTGTGTGGTTGCTAGGGTGATGCAAATATGACCCAAATCTCGTTTATATACATTTTACAAAATATATGATTTTTTAATGAATTCATAAAATAATAATAATAATAGTCCCCAACCCTGAGTAATAATAGTTACTGACACCACGTGCTGTTTGTTTTGACACGTGACACTGCGCGGTGCACAGAGCAGGACACTTAGAGGCGCATTTAAACAGACAACGAAACGATGCGTATACAGTAGGCCTACACTATAGAGCATGTTTTCATATCATTACTAAGTAATTAAGTTGTTGACTAAATTAAAGGAGAAAGAACAGCAGTATGTTTGCTATTAAAGCTGAGAGGACGCGAACATTAGCAGCACCTCAAATGGTTAAAACAATGTGGGCCAAAACACACGCAAGTCTGATGCAAATTCTTAATGTCACGATTGTTACCATCTATTTGCATTAGTTTATATAGAGTTGGTCACATTAATGCATTTGATAGCGAATTTACAGATTTAAAGCTGTGACGTGAGAAAACACATTGATATTAGTGATGGCCGGTTCGCAAATGAATCGTTCTATTTAAGTGGTTCTTCTTTCTGTAGAATGAGATGAAGAAATAACAATGAAACGAAGCAAAACAAGTAATGATTAATAAGCAAAATCTTCATACATCCATGCTGATTTGTCAGAATAAAGCCCAGGATCAAGTAAAAGTTCAGTTTAAATTCAGCCTCTGTGTCTAAGATTAAAATGCTTCTTGGTGTTGCATTGACTTTATAGTTTTGCTTGTGATTCACCATATATATGCTGAGCTGAATCATCTGTTTATGTCTTATGCGCTTGATATGTGTTGATTTAAACTTTTGAACATCTAATACTTCCTCTATGAATTGGAAAATTGCTGTATACTTCGAACTGTAAATAACAACTTTGTTCCCGTTTAAAATTACTTGACTTTCTCTCACACTTTCAGGTGAGGAAGCGCCAGAACACACAGCCATCATTGCAGGTGTGGTGGCAGCTCTGGTTCTACTAGTGTTCTTGACCCTGTTGGCTGTCTACTACATTAACACACATCCAACTGTTGCTCCTCCTTTCTACCTCATGCAGGTAAGTACACATCTATCTATCTATCTATCTATCTATCTATCTATCTATCTATCTATCTATGATACAAATAAAATTTTACGAGGATTAAGAACACATGCAATTCCCGAGCATCTTTTACGCTTGCCCTGGGCCATCAAGCAGTCCTTATTAGCCACGTTTCCACTGTCGGGCCAAAACCGGGCGTGGTAGTGCTTGCCAGGGCCAATCGCGTTTCCACTGTCATTTCCAGGGCTTGATCGTGCCTCGTCGGTGCTTCCTCGGGGCCAACGGTCCAGGTTTTCCAAAGCGGACCAACTGGAGCTAGAGGAGTGGCTATGAACAAAGGCAGAGTTTCTCCACGTCTGGAGAGCGTCAGTGCCACGAATCATTTCATAAAGTTAACAGATAACACCAGCATCAAAGACTATTAGAATAAGTTGAGCTTAAAACTCACTTTCAGACAGTAGCAAGTGTTTGAAACTTCTGTTTGAGATCCAGTGTGGATTATGATCACCATACAAGGCAGAAATAGGTATTTATAAGCGATGCAAAAGACTTTGCATGCTAGCCATTAACGTTACCATAGTAAACATGGTAAATACAACCGCTTGAAGAAATCAGACGTCAGCTTCTCATTCTCTATTACAATCGTGTATTTATTTAGTAACATATTTCATCTGCCATAAGTCTCGTCTAGAGTACGTCATAAAAAATAATCATAATAATGTTTTTTGTTCAGGAACTCCCTCTGCTACTCAGGTCGTATTTTTGATGGAAAAAATATAGAAATTATTCTTTCTAAATGTGATGTATACTGTGACTACAAATAAACAAAAACAGACTCAACTGAATAAGTAGGCTGTGTCCTCTTTCTTTTGTGAAATAACGATTCATTCCGCTTTATTTCTGTGTGACTAATTTTCAATCCTGATAAATTAATTCATTATGATCAATGTATCACTTATTATTGTAAAACATAGATGCTTTTGGATTTAAATCTTTAACAAAACATGCAAACAAATGGCCGCTTTTATCATGTTCGTTTTGTGATCGCGCTAGTTCGACTGATTTTCTGATTAGTTTTCTGATAAATATTGTCTTTGTTGGTGAAATGATGGGGTTGCGTGACGTTGTTCCTGAGAGACGTGTATAGGGCAGGTTTTAGTGAAGCGCAGTGGAACTTCTGGTCCGATGGTGGAAACACATCGTGATTTTGGGTACTGTGCTACAGGTCCGAGGCTATTAGCCCCGCCTGGCCCGTTTAAAGCATTGTCTCGACAGTGGAAAAGCGGCTATTTTCGAGCCCTGCTATCTATCTATCTATCTATCTATCTATCTATCTATCTATCTATCTATCTATCTATCTATCTATCCAATTTAAACTCTTTTAAAATAATTGTAAGCTGTTGTGGTGTCTCTTATTCACAGCGTCGCAGACTGATTTTCTGATTAGTTTTCTGATAAATATTGTCTTTGTTGGTGAAATGATGGGGTTGCGTGACGTTGTTCCTGAGAGACGTGTATAGGGCAGGTTTTAGTGAAGCGCAGTGGAACTTCTGGTCCGATGGTGGAAACACATCGTGATTTTGGGTACTGTGCTACAGGTCCGAGGCTATTAGCCCCGCCTGGCCCGTTTAAAGCATTGTCTCGACAGTGGAAAAGCGGCTATTTTCGAGCCCTGCTATCTATCTATCTATCTATCTATCCATCCATCTATCTATCTATCTATCTATCTATCTATCTATCTATCTATCTATCTATCTATCTATCTATCTATCTATCTATCTATCTATCCAATTTAAACTCTTTTAAAATAATTGTAAGCTGTTGTGGTGTCTCTTATTCACAGCGTCGCACCAATAACTATTGGCCTTCTGTGAAGTTTCGGAATCAAGGATGCCATTCCAGCTATGCTGAGGTTGATCTTGGGGGTTACGAAAAAGAGGGGTTCATTGAGGCGGAGCAGTGCTGAGCAGGCAGGACTTTATGTTCAAGGGATGGACTAAAGAAAAAGTGATTTTGTTTTTGTTTTTTTTCTTGAATAATTTTAGGATCATGGACAAACACACAATGCGAGGCTGTCACTGTTGAAAAATATCATTTGACAGTTTTGTGAGCTTTTCTCTGTCTCTGACTCCCCACAGTTGGCAGTCAAAACCTTTTATGCTGTTGTTTATAGTAAAGGGAATTTTAAGTTCTAAGAGGTACTAATTGTAACAAAGACCAGCAAATCTGCTAACGACACTCCGTAATAATGGGTATGTGTTAGCCAAAATGATTGCAAGTTAATGTACAGTGCAACGTATCTTTATAGAGTTTTTTTTTAAAGATATTTTGTGAAGAGTTGTGTTCAGTGGATAAAAGTTGCATAATACTCAGTTAGCCACATGGACTTGACAGCACTTTAATTCAAATAGCTTACTCTAGTACTCTTTTTTTTGCCCTGTCATTTAGTCATAAAGCATAAAATCAATTTGCTCATAAAATATTAATACATATTATTATAAATAAAATAAAAGCACAAATAAGTGCAACAACTAAATTTTAAAAGTAAATGTAAAAGTTTAATGTTTCAGTTTGCTTTTTGGAGAATTGAGAAATTGTATTTCCAAAGCTGTTTGTGGAGATGTAATGTAAAATGTGTTTTCCTGCTGAACAGATGGTCAGACATTAGAAATTTTTGTAACCAAATCCAAAGCAAAAGTTAGCTGATTTCCATTGTGTTAAATGCCACTGCAGTGTTGTATTTGCAACATACAGTATGTTTATTGTAAAATAATAAAAATAAAATTAGATGTTTTGAAAAAAAAAAAAGCTGTTTTCTTTGGTTTTCTAACTAGCTCATCTGTTCAGAAATGTAGTTGGGTCTGCATCACTAAGTTGGGAAACAGTGACACTTGCAGGCCGGCTGTTAAATTCTGTAGTTCATTGACGTTGATAATTGACCAACAAAGTATAAATGTATGAAATCCTTTCCTAAACTGCATGCTGTGTTCCAAATTTTTAAAATCCAGAATAATTATATATATATATATATGTGTGTAACCCAGTAGAACAAAATTCTACAGGTATTGGGTTTATTTCTATTCATTTAGTAATTCTTTTTGTTTTGCTCTAATACAGAACTAAAATGTGAGTGAATTATACGTCATTATATTGATGTAAGCTAAATGTGTACATGCCCCTTTAAGAGTGCGATCTTGTGTCAGGTTTGATTGCTATAAAACGTGGTATTAACGAGCACGTTAGGTTTCCTTTATGTCTATTGGTTTTTTTAGTGTTAAGTCCCGCCCTTAGTTAGGTGGTGTGTAGTGGGATTGTTTGTTGAGAAGGTTGATTGACAAGTCAGCGGAGGGGGATGGGGGCAGATGAAAAAAGACGCAAAGGTGTGAGACGCGTTGCCGGTGTTAAGCCCGGGATACACTGCACGATTTTTGGCTGTCCCAGACGAAAGATTTCCATCGTGAAGCAATCGTGGCGATTTCTGTGATCGTGGCTCTTAATCGGTGGTCCTATATGTCATACAGTGAGAGAAGTTCAAAGACGGGCGTTTTCCCGGTCTTGCGACCAAAGATAGCCTACGATAGTTTTCTGACAGTGTCAGAAATTCAGCATGATCAACGCACATGTGTTTGCTGCAACGACCTGCGTCTACTCAGCAGCCAATGAAATTGCAACATGAAATGACATATTAATCCACGCGACCAGCGGCGCTACAATTTCAATGCCAGGAGGCAAAAAAAAAGTAGAATGTATACTGGCATGTGGGATACCCATAAAGAACAAATTCTTGTTGAGTTGTGGCAGCAGAGGGCATGTTTGTACGATGTGTCCTCTAGCTGCTATCATGACCGAACCAAAAAAGGAACTGCAGCTGCCAAGCTCCCTGTGCAAAACTGGCATCCCAAGTTGTCCTCTTTTCCCGAGCCATGAGCGGGTCCATATTGCCCTCTTCCGCTGGCGCCTCTTCTTTGTTTCAGCGCACATGAAAAGCACAACTGCCAAAGAGCGATCCATCTTGATGTACTTGTATTTGTATTTGTGTATTTGTTTACCACTAGCGCATGCTGATGACGTTGCGCTAATGTGTGTCGCAGCCTACGATTCAATAGGTATCATCATACAATCTACATGCTTGTCCTACCCAAGTTTAAACGATCCATGTCGCACAGTGATAAAGTAATGATCTTATAGGATTGCTAAAATCGTGCAGTGTATCCTGGGGCTTTACGAGATTTTCGGTTTCCGAGATTTTCTGTTTCAGTGGGTGGGGCATACATGAATATTCATGAGTTTCCCGAACACGCGCGTCGAACCAGGTGGAACTGAGAATTTCAGGTCACACTCCTTGTATCTCAGCAGGTTTAATGGGATGGATATATATATATATATATATATATATATACGTCCCTGACTGAATGATTGCAGGCATTCTTTGTGTAATGTTAGGATAAAGCACAGCAAACTTCAGCTAGTTGTAGCCTATACATTGATTTCAGTTCTTTGTGCTCTTCATTTGTAGCTTGCGATGCTTTTAAACTGTGTCTGTTATTAGTTGTTATCATTTGTTGAATACATCACTGCCTGCAACAAATGAAAGAAACCTATATAAACCTATCTGTGGACTTTTTTTTTTTTGTATACTGGTGTGATGATCCATGTCTTAACTTACCCTGTTCAACATTCTTCATGTTGTCTGGTTGTGAATTGTCTGCTGTCTGGTTGTAAACTATGATACAATCATACACTGCTGCAAAAACATGTTGCTGAAATTTATTTCTTTTTTTCATGTTTCCAAAAATGTTTTGTAAAATAGTTTGTGTAAATTGTGTAAATTTAACAATTAAGATGATCACAAGGTTTATGGTTCCATTTGCACAGTGAAACCAAAAATACCAGAACACCTGGATGATTACAGCTACACATGTTTCCAATAGTAGCGCAGATCCAGCTACCATTTCAATTATTTATTTGTATGCTCTTCTGTTACCTTTTAAGTTTTAAAACTGTCATCTTCTGGCAATGAATGAAATAACATTCACCACCATATCAGTGGCCTAATAAACATTTTGCAACCTACACTGATGTTATTCTGTGTCATCTGTTCTTTGACCATGTGTTGCACTGTACCTGGATGATACACGATGATCATTGATACAAATGCATGGTCTATTTTGATGCACAACAAACACTCATGCAACATTATTTATAGGCTAAGTCATAAAGTTTCATAAACATATATAATCTTAATTTGGCTTTTTTTTCTACATAAACTGTTCCCTCCTGGTGGAATGACCTGCCCAACTCAATTCGAGCAGCTGAGTCCTTAGCCATCTTCAAGAAACAGCTAAAAACACATCTCTTCCATCTATATTTGACCCTCTAACACTTGCACTCTCTATTCGTTTTCTTTAAAAAAAAAAAAAGGCCTCTAACACTAGTTTTCTCTATTCTTTTTCTATTCTATATACTTGTTTTCTTTTTGTTGTGTATGTGTGTTGGTGTGAATGTTTGATATTATGTGAGACAGTGACATTTTGTTTTTAAAAAATATGAATTCAATAGCGATTCACACTCAAAATCCAGGAAAATGTTAGTCATGGAGGATGCGATTAATAAAGTAAAGTTTTCCTGAATTTTGAGCATGAATAACTATTGAATCCTTGTTACAAACTAAAATGATGTATGCACCAAAACAAGACAACATAGGAGACAAGAGAGTGTGATGTTAATCTCCTTGTAAAATCTGCTATAAAAATATGACATAATAAAGCTAAAAACAATTCTTCATTTGATCCTTTGATACATGACATTAACATTCAAAAGTTTAGGATTACTATGAATTTTCTTTTTAAGAAATTTATATTTTTGCTCTTCAATAATGCATTAATTTAATAAAAATGACAGTTTATAATGTAAAAATTCTATTTCAAATAAATGCTGTTCTTCTGAATTTTCCATTCATCAAGGAATCCTGTCGCTGTATAATGGTTTCCACAC